CAGATTAATTGGGTTTAAGAGGAATTAACCAATTGGTCTTATTCGCAGCTTGATATGATCTAAAAATGCTTAAAGCATAAAAGAAAGTTATTTAAAGTTTGACGCTATTGCAAGTCTTTAAAGAAATCAGATGTCTTTTTCGTTTCTGTGGTGTAGCAGCTTTGCATGGCATGAATGCAAATCCTTGTTTGATCGAACTCGTTCTCTTTTTCGACAGTATGTTTCAGTTTTGTCGACATTTGTTTTTTTTTTATTTTTTATTTTTTATTTCCGCGATTGTTTATTGTCTATTTTCGTCAGAGTACTGTTTATAGTATTTGGACGATCTTTCGTGTGCATGTGATAAGAGTACTACTCTTCCTAAAGTACTGAAGTGAACTGTTGTCCTGGTAAGCATTGTGCTATAATTTGAAACAGTAGACCATAGAACCAATCCTCTCCCTGTTTTGTTTCGAAGCGTTTTATTCTCAGATTTGAGTATCGTCACGGTGGAAGATGGTAATTTATTTGCTAATGTTATAATCAGAAATTTGTCTCAGTCGTATCGCATGTGATCCCTTTCGGACTGTCTTGAACCTCGTAACAGTAGTGTTTCTCTCAACAAAAACTACAGTTCTTCGACGATCTTTTAATTTGTAACGATGGCTGTGCATAGCATTGAGTGAAAGTAAAAGTCTCATAATTATCCGTGTTGGCATCGGTCCATAGCTTTTTTTAAAATTGCTTCTGAGTGCAGTCACTTTGGCTCCTTTGATTGTCTCAATAACCGTTGCCGTATCGTTCTTTTTATATTCTAGCCAATGAGCACTTATTTCCTCTCGGCATTTTTTTTCCACGGCGTGCTTTTCGTGCTGCTAAACTGTTTAGACTGCGTGCAAACTATTATGTACCATCGTTCTTTAGACGCCTGGAAGGATGAGCCAGTACGGAAATGCCGTGCGTTAAGGTTCGGCCGAATTAAACCTATCGCATTTCTCTAGGCAGTTTATACGGGAAGTCTGTGCACACCCTTGGATATTACGTGGTTATATAATTGGGAAAGAAATAGTAATGAAGCAAACTACTGACGTCCTTAATCTTTGAAAACTGCTGAAACGTACTAATTAATTTCCCCCTGTTACTTACATAAAGAATTGTACATGGTGTCATTGGATAATTTTTTTCGTCTGTCAATTGTTTCTCCTTGAAGTTCACTAAGAAACGTAATGTTGAGAACAATAGCGTACAATTCATTTAGTAAAACACTTAAAGTTCTTTAAACACCGTGTTGTAAAAATCCGTTTAGTTTTATAATTTTGTTGTAACTATTCTCTGGCTTTTTTGACATGTCAGCAACAGATCTGCTTGTTTGTGTTCTTCTCGTGTTATATTTGCTAGGTAGATGTTGTTTTCGATCAGAAAATATTGATAAAGTAAGCTCAGCTTTCTTCATTATTTTTTTAGCTTTCAGTATTAGTTTATGCAGACGGACAGTAAGATTCCGTTTTTATCATTGTTCAGGCGAATTCCCCACATTGAGCCTGAATGTTTAAAGATGTGGTTGACATAAGATTAATCCTGTACTAATTAATTGCTGAATTTATTGCTGGCATCTTTTAATGCATAGAACTTCATTTGTTGATTAGTGGCGTTTGATGAATACATCGCTCAAGACCAGTTACAGTTTTAAATCTCAGTTTTGTCATCAGCCTAACGTTAAACCTGGAAGTTCACGTTATCAAATAATTTTGGGTTCAGGAATGACTCTTGTGATGCAGATTTCGTAGTTTTTAATTATGCAAATCTGCATATCTTCGTAAATTTGCTTTAGTTAACGAGTATCATTTCTTTTTGTAGAACGACGGAAATGAGTGCTGTGGGAGAAAAAAAGAGCAAGTTGGACTTGCCGTTTCTCGAAAAAGAATCTTTAAAGAAGTGGTGGTTTGGAAAAACGATGAAATACGGTTGGAACAAGCCGTGCAACGGAGCGTCAAGTCTAATAGGAAAAAAAGACCAGATGTTGAAGCAGTTTATCGAATTCAACTGTAAGCTGTGCTTCCTGCAGTCCATTTTGGACTAACTCCAGCTGTACAACAATGCAGCTCAGTGGTGTCATTGGTGGCACATACAGACACGGGTCATTCTGGCGACCATCGGTAATGAATGACCGTGTGCTACCGAAATGACGACAAACGCAGTTGGCTATCCATCTCAATATGTCTTTGTATTCGTTGTTTATTAACTTCAAATTTTAAAAAGACGCTCTTGTTGCTGTTGTTGTTGTTACTTATCGTTATCAGAGGTATCAGGATCAATAATCAGGCAATTAGATTAATAATCTGACAGTTTTTGAATGTCGCAATGATTTAGGCGATGTTGTTTGTTGCGTCAAACGTCATATTCCTTTTCGCAAGTAAGTTTGCCTGTAGCAACTGTTTTAAAGCGCGGTGTTGACCTCTGACGAGCCTACTGCCATTCTTTGCTTTCCAAAGGAAAATGGCTTTGGACATGTCACCTTTTCCTCTCCACGTTACGAAAGAACGCCAATCCCTAATTTCTTCTGAAAGCATTCTCAATTCGGTCCTTTCCAAGATCCTTTCATTCGATGAACCATCACCTTCAGAATGCTTCTCAAGCAGCGCTGCTGAAAGTGTTCATCATCTTTTTGTTGGATTTGTTTCAAGGCTGTACATCAGAAATAATGGTAGCTTTCAGCATGGTGATCTTTGTTGCTGTTCGGATAGATAAGTTTTGCCACAGTTTAATGGTTGCCCGAAGTTCACAGATGCTAGCCCTAAGTGCCTTTCTACTTCCATTTTGCAGCTTCATTCTCTTGGCAGTACGTGGCCGAGGTACTTGGAGTTTTCAGCCTCCTCGATGGTCTACTGCATTAATTAAGTCTTTGAATTGTTAGTCCGGCCGGGTGCTCTGTCATAATTTTTTGGTGGAGTTAATTTCTAGGCCTACTGTCGAGGACACGTTGCCGACGTAGACCGTTAGTGGCAATAAGCTGGCTGAGTCGCTCAGCAGTGGATCTGTCATGGCTGCTGCTGAATGCAATCGGCTGAATCATCCTCTAACAACAAACCCCTTGCTTTTGTTGAAAATGACGCTCCTTCGCATCACATTGTTCACCCCCGTGTTGAATAATAAAAATGAAAGCTTCTCTCCTTTTCGCACTTCATTTTTGATTTTAAATCACTGTGACGACGACTCTTCTGCTCTAATTGCGCCCTTACACTTCAGCAGTAGTTCGGGTAACACCCACTTTGATTTCTTCGTAGCAAATAAGTGTTTTTTCGGTCTTCGGAGGAAGATTCGCTTTATTAACTTTCCAACTCTGGCAGAAGCGTGACCCGACTGTTATTTGCTCAGTAAAAGTAATTCCCAAGTTTGAATGTAGCAATGATCACGCCGTTCTTGCTGTCGTCAGAAATTTCCGACTTCCTTCAAAAATTAGGTTGATCCAGTTCAGTGTGGTGTCGTTTGGGCATTTCTGGGTTTCCGCACTAGCCATATCGTGTCGACCCGATTTCTAATATTGGCAGAAACACTTGGCCTCTCCGGTTTCATTTTTTCGATGGAGCGCAGCATTCAATTGTATGGTGTCAGTTTCCATGTCACCCGTTGGAGCGGGCCTGTTCAGGCGCTCTTAGAATAGTCATGCTCATCTGCGCTTCCTATTTGTATTCAAAGCGGCTCTCGGCACATATCGTCGATGGTCGATTTGTCTAGTTTCTCTTGGAGTAGTTCACACCGTCCTGTCATTGCCGTTCTACGCTGTTCAAACTACGGATATTATGCACCACGAATTGTAGTGACAGCTTTTCCATGCCAGACGCTGTGACATCACGATAAGAACTTTCAATGATCATGATCGAGTTGCGCCACCTATCAGCAATTCCTTGGCCATCAGTAGAAACAGCTTCTAATAAAGCTTGGCCAATTATAAAGGTTTACTGAAAGTAGTTTTCTATAATATGCTGAAATTCAATTTGTACGAGACGATTAGCAGATCGGTATTGATACACACGAAGCAGCATGGTCTCATTAATATGGATGTTATTGCGCCATGTATGTTTGAATGGTCTTGGTGAAGAAGAGAAAATTATGGCTTATGGACCGTTTGGCAAGGTTATAAACCCTAATTTGCTTTGTGATGCCATGCAGATTGCCAACGGTATGTATTCACATGGGTGGCATCAATCACGTTTGTCTAATGAAATTGCAGAATTAATGTTTCATTTTCGGTCTCTCATTACGAAGAGATGAAATGTTACTTAGCAGGATTATGGTACTGGTGTGACGAAACAGCCGGGAGCATACTTTAATACCTGTAACAATAACTTGATCTTACATTCACCCGTTTTAAAGCTCGCTCGTTATAAGCAAGAGCAGAAATTTCAGTACACTTTTTTACGGCTTTAATAAGGGAGCCTTCGCGATTTTTTCATGTGACATTCTATTCATAATGTCCAGACTAGTATAAGTATGCCGAAAAAGGTGTTTCTATTTATAACAAAGGTATTTCAAGCTGCTCCTGGTTTTTAATGAATCATTTGAGAAACCTTACTGTATGAGTATACCTCGCGGTTTCATAAAATTAAAATATGCGGTAATGTTTCACTTCTGAAGAGCAACCGCTGAGCATTGTTAACCGCAGTGATCGAAGAATGAACTTATTATTGTTGCTACTATGGCATCCTTTGAAGATGGATCGAGCTCGATCAGAAATGTCTAGATTATTTGAAAAATTCTTAATGGAGTGATACAGTAATCCGCGAACCAAAAGGAGAAGCGGTCATAGAAGATGAAGATATTGAATTTACTATAAATGATCTCAAAGGTTTCGGAGAGTGCTTAATCCCTCTTCTGGAAGAGTCAGTATAAATCAGATAATGTTATAATGTAAATCGCAACTGTCTGGTAGCAACTTCAGTATTCTATTTCTGCCTCGGTACTGTAACTACGTCATAACTTAAATTGTTCCAGTGCGAACTTAATTCCATAGAGATGTCTACTGTTCAGTAAAGTCTTGGTATATGTTTGAATTACAACTGATGTGCGGAGTAACCTTGTAAATATATGGCGATGAAGACTTCGTACGCGGTTGATGAATTCAAGTGATGCATTTAAAACTATGGAATATGATATTTTTTACATCATAATTAGTAACAACAATACCAAAGATTTTGGGTCGCTAAGGCATTTATAGTTTTTGACAGATGATCGTTCCGTATTGACTGTTGCCCGGCTGCAAAGAGAATGTGTCCCCGGGGGTCGGAGGCTTTACGTTTGAGACCGCTTTTTGTCGTGGGCTGACGACTGATACTTTCGCTCCCGTCGACGCGCACTCGTCGACCCAGCTCTGAATCTCAGCTAAAATGCGGTCAGTTTTCATCGCCAGTCATAACTGCCTCCGACGTGCTTACCTGAACCGAAAATGATGAAGCTGCCCCCCGCCAAGAAAGAACAGCACACAGATGATCAGGTATACCACGCGCCATTCGGCAGCTGTATTCTAGAAGAAATATAATTAAAATATTAAATTGGAAATTAAAAAATTTTGCTTCTGTAAGAGAAGGTGGAACACAGGAAGGGTGACTAGTTCTTGAATGTTGAGTTCTTCATTCTCAAATTTTCGCGTACATGCGTTACTATTTAGGGTGGCACAGTC